GTCATGAACAGGTCACGACGCTGCTCTCTGCACTTCTCCTGTATCTGGCGGGCAGCAAAGATCATGTCAGTGGTGCCACGTGATGGTCTAAAGCCACATTGAGATTCTGCGAGGAAGTTTTCCGCCTCAGTAAGAAGATTGTTCAGGAGGACTCGGGCGATAATCTTGCCAGCAACGGACAGCAGCGAGATCCCGCGGTGGTTGCCACAGTCTGGCCGGTCTTCCTTGTTCTTATAAATATTGACGATGGAGGCGTCTTTAAGGGCTTGGGGTATTTCCTCCTTTTCCCACATATTCTCCAGGAGAGAGTTAAGACGGCTGATAAGCAGAGGTCCTCATGCTTTATACACAGTTCAGCTGGGATTCCATCAGGCCCTGAATCTTTGTTATTTTTCATCTGTTTGATAGCAGTAGCTACCTTATCCAGGGATGGAGGATAGCTGAGGTGGGTCAACTCTGGATGCTGAGGGACCTGCTGGGTAGTATGGGCATCCACATCGGTGTTTCGGTTGACCAGCGAATGGTAGTGCTCTTTTCAGCGGTGAAGGAGGCCTTCTTCATCTTAATTAGGGAATTACCGTCGGATGAGCAGAGGGGGGCTGCGCCATCAGTGATTAGCTCATAAAATGTTTTAGTGGAATTGAAAAATTCACGCGCGCGCGCACACACACACGCACAGATGGTGAAACCAGTATTTTCGTGATACCTTTGTAAATATCAGTAGGTCCATGTAATATCTGTATTACACGACCTTATTGAATGACTTTAAGCAATTTCTAGATTTGCGATTGAAAAAAAAAATGAGTTTCTACTTTTTATATATCAAAACATCCCCTGTGATCACATCAAATAAAAAGTATAAAAAAAAATACACTGCTTTATATGTTTAAACATCCCCTGAACAGAGTTTCTAAGAATTTATTGTTGTAGTTTTAAAGCACCCATTCTGATCAGGTTAATTGTACTAAGTTTCATATATCACCTTTCATGCATCTATATTCTATCCTGATAAACATCCTTAATTTTTTATTTCATTTTTATTTTTCTAACTATAAATAAAGTTGATGAGCTGGGCAATTTGTATAAAAAAAATTATATAAGAATGACATGTGTAAAAGCACTTTCATTGCTCATTCACATGAAATCAACTGAAATAATTACAACAAGCTTGTAAGTAAATTTGAGTAAAACAAAAATTGCCCTAAAAGGTGACAACATCAGGATGAAGGACACATGGAGAATTCTTAATGGTGCAACGAAGTTTAGTTTAACAAATTTATTGACAAAGCTTGGAGTACAGTTTGCCTATTCTGAGTAATTCAGTCAGGTCTTGACACTGAGGGTGGTATCACTTCTCACTGCCACGCAGGACAGAGGTCCATACACAAAGAAATACATCATATTCATTAACAGTATATATAGGTCAGATTCATGTGGGTAATGTCACTGTTCACTACCATGCAGGACAGTGGTTCGTACACAAAGAAATACATCATATTAACTAGCAGAATATATAGCTGAGAGTCATGTGGGTGATGTCACTGTTCACTGCCATGCAAGCCAGTGGTTCATATGCATTGGACGTCATATTCTAATTGATGATTAATCAGTGTGGGCTAGCAAATTTGGGATAAAAAAGCAAGAATGTCCTCAAGCACCCCCGATTCAATGTAATACTTACAAAGTTCATGATACAATAAGCCAGGTGGCCTGAAGTCTTTGACAGTGTCACATTCAATAACATAGTGTTCAAGTGTATGCTTTAAAGGTTTATCACAAAGTTTACATGCCGAGTGTTCCAGTATGGGTACAGCGTTACTAACTTGCCAGATGTGTCTGTATCCTAGCTTAATTCTGGCCACGACTACATCACATTGTCTGGTTCTGTCCTTATGCTGGCCATACCGGTACCTCTCGTCACAAAATTTGTCTTATTTACTAATGCTATAACTGTCAGGTCTCTCAGCATTTCTCAGTTCTTCTAGATCAGAGTTCATGATTCTGACTTGAATGTTTTTAAGTACATCATTGGACAGGCCAAGGTCACGGTCAACATTTTCTTTCTTACATACCTCATTGGCCAGTTTATCAGCACGGTCATGATACCTAATTCCAACATGGGACGGAATCCACACAAATTCGATACTTGAGTTGTTCTCATTGGCAGTTATTACATTTCTTTTAATAACACATACAACTTTGGACATAGAACCTGACGGGCTGTTCATTGATTTCAAAGCACTTTGAGAGTCACAGAATATCACCCCACCTCCACTTTCTTTAAGGTAGTCTGTGGCTAAGTAGTTTCCAGTTCAGTTTGTGTTGTGCTGGCCCAGTTGTTCAGCCTTTGCTTGTTTGACACTATCATCTCATTTTCTTTATATATTACAATTGCACAGCCTGTTCTACCTGTGTTTGTGTGCACAGAACTATCAGTAAAAGCATAACATTCACTTGATTTAATACTTTCTATGTGTCTGTTAATAGTTTCTAGTGTGACACATCTCATTACATCGGTGTTTAACATTTGCTTACTACCGACAGGAGTGTAATTAATAGGAACTGATATACCCAGCCAAGGAGGAATGGCATTAATGGGTACGTCTGGGTGATTGCGACATTCATTTTCAAAAGATCTGCAACACTTTTATGAAGCCACGCCCCAAAGCGAGTCTTTTGTGGAACGTTAGCGAGACAATCGGGATTACTTAGATAGAACATCAACTCAGTTTGAGATGTAGTTTGGGGACCATTGTTCTTCAAAACTTTGACACAAAACATGGTATTAAGTAGAGCTATCCTCTCAGATAGGGAGGGCAGCCCGAGCTCTTTCCTCATGTTTACAATTCTGGTTGATTTGGGGCATCCTAGAATGATGCACATGGCTTCATTTAACACTACCTCAAGGCTGTTGAGTTGTTTAGGCGGAATAATCACAAGATGGAGAGCATGATAGTCAACTACAGAACGAATGAAGTGAAGATGGAAAGTACGAGCATAGATGATGTTAATTCCATAGCCCTTGTCAACAAGGGTTCTGAGGGGTTTAATGCGCTGCATTAGTTTGGCACGAAGGTTGCCGACAAAGTTTGCATCATTCACACAAATTCCAAGATATTTATAAGAGCTACATAGTTCCAAGGGCATGCTGTTAATGTTAAAGTCAAGAGGCAGAGGGTGAGCAGGACAAGGATTGAGGACCCTCGTCTTGTCAACAGATATTATGAGACCACATTCCACAGTCCTCTGATCCAATACAAGGCTTGGCTCCTGCCTGGCTTGGTCATGTAATGCAGATATCATCAGCATAGCATATTACAGCCTCGTTTGGCTGAACTGGAATGTCAGCAATAAGCTTGTGCATCAGTATATTAAAGAGCATAGGACTTAACACTCCTCCCTGAGGCGTGCCAAGCTCAAATGATCTCATTCTGGTACTTTTAACTCCCCTAAACAGAACACTGGCATACCTGTTGGACAGATAACCCTTTATCCATGTCAGGAGGTTACCTTGGATGCCAAAATTAGCTTTGCTCAAGTATTTGTCTCTATTAGCTACATCAAAGGCTGATTTAAGGTCTATGAAGGCTGTTTGTGTCTTATCTTTTGAGTGAACAAGATATTCTGCAAAGCATGTACATGAATACAGATTTGACTTGATGAGATACTCTTTATACACATACAGGATGTAGTGAAAGGAATTAGCTTTAGGGATTACTATGTTTCCATGAGTCCATGTCTTAGGCAGAATACCCTGTGTGAGGCTCATTTGATACAGGTCAAGCAGTGGATGGTTAGGGATCATTAACAATCTCAGGGTGTTATAGGTTATGCCATGACCCATTAGTGCTGTTGTTAGTTCGTGGTGCGTTATAGGAAACTGGTCGGTAAGGTCTGGTGAGGAACAGGCTATTTCAATATTGAAACCCCTGGGTTAAGATATTGCTGTATGTCAGGAGGCAGGGAAGTGATTTGTGACACACTAGACCATTGGTCTAATAGCATGTCAGCATATTCTGCAGGGCTGTGATGAAGTTGGACTGGGGTGGGTGACTTGGTAATGGCTCTAATTTTGTTCCACACTTCTGCTAGAGTGGTTGTTCTATTAATCCCCTGTAAGAATTGTTCCCAATAGGTGTTTCTCACCTGACCTTTGAGTTCACGAAATCTCTGTTAGCTTTGAGGAATGCCAGGAGGTTATCACTAGTTTTATTTTGCTTATAAGTGTTGGCAAGCTGTTCTACCTTCTCTCCTTCTTTGGTGAGGATGGGGTCATGTGTCCACAGAGGTGGTTTAGTGCTGCCCCCCTTCCTCCTTGACTTAACCCAGGTGGTATAATATGTGGTAATGACATTTACAAGATCACAGCAAAATTCATCCACTGACCCAGGTGTATATCCAGCATACCATCTGTGGATGTAGGCCTTGAAGTGCAGTTTAAGATTATCTGGGATGTTAATTCTGAGCTTAGGATGGGGTTCACACTTGACATCAGCAACAGTGTATTCAGTAAGTATTGCATAATGATCACTGACTAGGTGGTCTGAGATGACCTTAGCCTTGACATTACTGTCTACTAGGTTATACCCAATCACATAATCAAGTCTGCCCCCCATCAGATGTGTCACTTTGTCTGTGTCGTATACAGTGATATTATGATTATTGATGTAATTCACGAACACCCTCCCATTAGAGTTACACTGGACATCACCGAGGACTGTGTGACGATAATTAAAGTCACCCATACACAGAATAGCATTGTTACCTGATGGCTTTGGTAACACGTCCGCTATCAGCTTATTATACCGAACATAGATGTTACAAGTGATCGCGGGCCTTTCTCGCCCGGTGAAAGTTTGAATGCTCGTGATTGGCTACCGCGCAACCGCCGTCCGGCTGACAGCGTACAGCGAATGAGGGTGCGGCAAGTCCGTAGACTTGCATAGTTAATTAGGGTGCGCCAAGTCCATAGACTTGCATCGTTTTCCATCGTAAATGAAATGGTTAATTATTGCCTTCCTAAAGAAACCATAGACATGGGACGAGGTTTGTTCCACTACGATTTTTTTGCGATTTTTCCACCAAGTTTGATGAAAAACGATTGTGCCGTTTCGGCTGCCCAGAACAGACAGACAGACAGACAGACAGACAGACACACACACACACACACACACACACGTCTATTCCTATAGTATATTAGATACAGCGAAAATTGACTGTTTGCTGTCTTTACTGTAGTGAATACTTTCATCATTGTGAGTTTTGATCCATTTACAGACCAGAGCAATCTTTACATAAGTGAGCAGACCACTTCCTGCTCCAATATTGTATGCTGTAAACCCAGCTATCCTGGGTGCAGCTTTCTTCTGGGTGCTGGACGTGTAAGGTTCTTGTAAACCAATTACATCAATGTTAAAAACTTTAACAAACCATTGTAGGTCATTAATTCTGCGGTTAACACTCCGGATGTTCCATGAAACGAACCCAAGCGTTCGTGTTACTCGTTCCATCTTGAACTTAGTATAGAGAGTAGCGCGTTGGCTTCATAGATCAACCTGACCATTAAATTAACCGTTTCAAATTCACCACCCCTGGAGTTCTTGTTAAATGCATCTCACAGCCCTTATTCTAGTAGGATTTTTATACACAGGTTCCTTAATTAGTCCCGCGAGTTCCTCCTCCGAAAATATGGGAAGAAGCACAGGGTTATGGACAGTTTTCAGACCTGGGGTTATCAAAGAGACCACGCTGGCAGTCTGGGGCTCATTCTCCCCATTCATGTTTCCATCGCTATCGGTCTCGCTCTGGCTACTCACCCTCAAGTTCGCATCATTATGAAAGGAGGCACCAGCTCCTTCAAAAGTTCCTCTGACACTATCACTGCCATTGTTCACCGGTACACTTACTTGGAAGGCTTTAACCTGACTTGCATTGGCAAACAAAAGAGAGTCACTGTGCCTGTTGACTTCAGGTGGTGGAGGAGATCCGGCCGCATTGGCATCACTGAGTAGGACAGCTATTGTGGTTGGAGGCGGCCTCCCAGGACAACTGGGGTGCCAGGCCATCACACCCTCCTCCTTGCACCTGGGATACAGCCTCCTGGGAGGGGAGGTGTGGCTGTTGATTTCAGGCGATGGAGGCGACCCGTCAGTGTTGGCGTCACTGAGTGTGACCGCTGTTGTGGGTGGAGGCGGCCTCCAAGTACAACCAGGGTGCCAGGCCGTCACACCTTCCTCTCTGCACCTGGGACATTACCTCCTGGGTGGGGAGGTGTTGCTGTTGATTTCAGGCGATGGAGGCGACCCGGCAGTGTTGGCGTCACTGAGTGTGACTGCTGTTGTGGGTGGAGCGGCCTCCCAGGGTAACCTGGGTGCCAGGCCGTCACACCCTTCTACCTGCACCTGGGACTCTACCTCCTGAGTGGGAAACCCTGCTACTTCCCTCCCGAGAGGCAGCTTCCTTGGTGGGGCAGCTCCTCGTGCTATGCATTTTTGCGCAGATGCTGCAGGTGGCTGTCTTGTGACAGTATTTCACCACATGATTGACCCCGAAGCAATTGTAGCACACCAGAGGGGGAGGAGTCCACCGATTGATGTTACTAAGGATACCATTCATGCCGAAGAAGCAGTGTTCCTCAGGAGGTGTTTCCTTCCTTTTCTAAACAATGATGATCCTACTAAGTTGTGCACCATCCTTATAAAGTGACAGAGTGCCACTGGGAGGAATACCCTTGGGGAAGTGGGTGACAAGGTATTCCTTCATTTTTGGGGGTCTGACAGGTTCATCTCGCTTAATGAGATGCAGTGAGCCGACCTTTCCATCAATGCAGCGTTGGATAGCATCCGTATTCTCTGGGCCTACATAGACGAAACGAGGGGCGCTATAGTCTTGCAATATTCCTCATTCAGGGCTCTCAACCACTTAATCTTCATCGACGTCGTCTTTCAGACAAGAACATCGCTTTTTCGACAGCTGTTTCTACAACAGAGTGGCACCATTTAAATCCTTCACCTCTACACATACTCTGTGTGTGTGAAAATTTGTCCGAATATTTAGTTATATCCTAGGAACATCAATTAGATTAGTTTAGTTTAGTGGCTGTACATCCAATGGTGTATGTAGTTCAGGATCTCACCAGAGCTGGCGTTGCATTATCTCGTTTAGTTTCGATACTGATTCAGTCTTAAGGTGACAGAAGACTTTTTGAGGTGAATGCACATCCTGTGGCTGCACATCCAGTGGTTGTATAGCCAGTGGCTGCACTGTTAGTGGCTGTACATACAGTGGCTGTACATCCAGTGGCTGTATATACAGTGGGAACCATTCAGTGGACGAACATCTAGTGGTTGTACGGCCAGTGGCTGCACGTTTAGTGACTGTACATACAGTGGCTGCACATCTAGTGGCTGAACATTTAGTGGCTGTACATCTAGTAGCTGTACATCCAGTGGCTGGAAATCTAGTGGCTGTACAGCCAGTGGCTGCACGTTTAGTGGCTGTACATACAGTGACTGTACATCCAGTGGCTGCACATCCAGTGGCTGCACATCTAGTGGCTGCACATCTATTGGCATTGCGAGAGCCCCCCACTAAGGGCGACAGAGCGCCCCCAAAAGTTTAGCCCTTCGGCATATGTTTTCACCAAATTTCACGATTCTTCATTGTACATCCATTGGCTGTACATCCAGTGACTGTACATTCAGTGGCTAACATCTAGTGCTGGATCCAGTGGCTGCACATCTAGTGGCTCCACGTTTAGTCACTGCACATCCAGTGGCTGCATGTTTAGTGGCTGTACGTCTAGTTGCTACACTTTTAGCAGCTGTACCTCCAGTGGCTGCACGTTTAGTGGCTGTACATCCAGTGGCTTCACCATCAGTGGCTGCATATCCAATGGCTGTACATCCAGCGGCTACACATCCAGTGGCTGCACGTTTAGTGGCTGTACATCCAGTGGCTTCACCATCAGTGGCTGCATATCCAATGGCTGTCCATCCAGCACCTGCACATCCAGTGGCTACACGTTTACTGGCTCTACATCTAGTGGCTCTATACCCAGTGGCTGTATATTTAGTGGCTGTACATCCAGTGGCTGTACATATAATGGCTCTGCATCCAGGGGCGGTACAGCTAGTGGTTTTACACCCAGTGGCTGCACATCCATTGGTTACACAGCCAGTGGCTATACATTTAGTGCCTGTACATCTAGTGGATGTACACCCAGTGGCTGTACATCTAGTGGCTGTACATCCAGTGGCTGTACGTCAAGTGTCCGTACATCTAGTGGCTGTACACCCATTGGCTGTACATCCAGTGGCCGTACGTCAAGTGTCCTTACATCTAGTGGCTGTACATCCAGTGCCTGTATATCCAGTGGCTGTACATTCAGTGGCTGCGCATCTAGTGGCTGTACACCCAATGGTTGTACATATACAGGTAGTGGCTGTTCATCCACTGGCTGTACATCTAGTGGCTGTACATCTAGTGGCTGTACATCCAGTGGCTGTACATCCAGTGGCTGCACATCTAGTGTCTGCAAAATCTAGTGGTTGCAAATCTAGTGGCTGCATGCTTAGTGGCTGCACATCCAGTGGTCTTCGTAAGCATCCAGTGGCTGCACATCTAGTGGCTGCACGTTTAGTGGCTGTACATCCAGTGGTTGCTCCTTCAGTGGCTGCACATCTAGTGGCTGTACATCCAGTGCCTGTACATCCAGTGGTTGCTCCTTCAGTGGCTGCACATCTAGTGGCTGCACGTTTAGTGGCTATACATCCAGTGGCTGCACATCTAGTGGCTGCACGTTTAGTGGCCCTACATCCATTGGCCGCACGTTTAGTAGCTGTGCATCTAGTGGCTGTACGCTTAGTAGCTGTACATCCAGTGGTTGCAAGTTTTGTGGCTGTACATTCAGTGGTTGTACATGCAGTTGTTGCACATTTAGTGGCTGTATATCCAATGGATGCATGTTTATCGGTTGTGTATCCAGTGGCTGCACGTTAAGTGGCTGTACATCCATTCGCACCACGGCACAGGTAGACCGGGCACCCTCGTGAAGGGGAATCCCCGCAGGACCCAATTAACGCCACGTGTCTCTAAAGGAACAAATCGGTAGGAGATGAAGAGGGGTGGGGAGGGGAGGGGATTGAAGGGGGGGTAGGAGGCAAACGATGGGGAAGCGGGAAGGATAGGAGAGAGGGGCGTTGGGAGAAGTGAATAAAGGGGTTGTAGAGTGAAGAGTTGGGGATGAAGGTTTTGGTGAGGAGGGGGATAGGGAAGATGAGAATGGTACGTGGGGAGGGAAGAGGGGAACTAAGAATAAAGAGCTGATGAAGGGGAGGAGAGAGAAGTTAAACGATGACGAATGAGGGAAGGGATAAATAAGAAGAGAAGAGAGGAGGGGACAACGGAGAGGGGAAAAAGCTTGAGGGGGTAAGAAATGAGTCAAGTGATTAAGGGTCAAAGGTAGGGAGAAACTGGGGGAAAAGGTCAAGGGGTGAAGCTGAAGGGAAATATTGAGGGGTAAAGCTGGAGGAAAGGCTAGAGGAGGTGAAGAGACAAGAAAGTAAGGGGGGTAAAGGAGGAAGGAGTTAGTGGGTGATAAGTTTGGGGAAAGATTGATTGGGGGAAATTATGGGCTGAGGGGCCAAGGAACATTGTTACGAGAAGGGAGGAGGGGAGGTATTGAAGGATGATGGGGAGAAGGGAAGAGGAGTTGAGGGGAGTGAATGAAAGAAAACGTGAATTAAAAAAGGGTGAGGAGTAGGATTGAAGGATGAGGAATAGGAGTGATGGGTGAGGATGAGGGTATTAGTGATGGCAGGAGGGGAAGGGGTAATAGTGAAGGGAAGGGGTAATAACGGTGAGGGAGGGGAATAGGGATGGAGGCATAAGAGAGACGGAGTTGAAGGAAGGGAAGGAGAAGGAGGTGATGGAGGAGGTTAAAGTGGATTGTGGAGGTGATGAAAGGGATAGAGGTGAAGGGAAGAGTAATATGTCATGTTTCCTACTCTCCACTTAATGACTTTTACAGGTGATACTCTGTCTGTGGGAGAGGAGGGAGGAGGGAGAGGAGGGACGGGAAAGGGGATAGGAATGGTGGGAAAGGAGGGAAGGGAAAGGGGATAGGAACGGTGGGAGGAGGGACGAGAGAGACGAGGAATGGAAGGGCGAGAGACAAGGGAGAGGAGAGAATGAAGAATAGGGAGAGAGAAAGACAAAGGAGGAAGATGACAAGACGGGGGAGAGGAGGAGGGGAGTGGGGTGGGGTGTCCTGCACTTCATCCACAACTCAAAAGTTTTTTGCAGGCAAGACTTCCACTTCAGGGTGAGGAGGAAAGAGAGAGAGAGCTATTTTTTATCTTCTCTCCCTCCCCCATCCACCTCCCCAGACCAGTAGGTTGTATTCCAGCTGGTCGAGTGAGTGAGTGAGTGAGTGAGTCAGTCAGAAGGGTGGGGAGGGGAAGGGGGCGTATTTCACTTTTTCTTGACTTGATTTTTGACTGATTTGATTACTAAAACAAGCTAGTCATCCATTTAAATTACTTATAAAACCTAAAGTGTAAATGTCCTCAGTGTGTATGATTTCACAAACAAGAAAACTTAAGAAAAGAAAAGTCGTGCGTGACTTCTGACAAAGCACGTGCCAGATATAATACAGAGGGAGGTATAATATAAGGAGAATAGGTCGTCGAGAATGCTTTCAAAAAGAAGAAAAACAAAGAAATAAAAAAAAATCCTCATTTTTACGAAGCAAAATAATTGAAAGGAAGGGGTTACAAACTCTTGCCCGGCTCTCAATTTATTTCTGCCAATGAACTGGTCATGCAATAGCCTGTTTACAAAATAAATTTCATACGCAAGCATGAAGTCAATTTGGTCATTGTACACTATGTGAAGTAAACGCAGCGTACGGTAGAGAGTTAACACTATGCTTAGGATCGTTAAGTAAGGCTTGGTATATAATTTCAGGTTTGGTTGGTTGGCATTTGCTATTATAATTAGTTATTTGGCGCACACGTTATACTGTATGTATCAGGTTTTTAATGCAAAGTAAGTTGAGAACCAGGCACGGGTCTGTAGCAGCGACCTTAAAATAAACATCAATTAAGAGAAACATCCTTGACTAAATCACTCGGAATTTCTTGAATAAAGATTCTAATTTTGACCCCAAACTTACACATAACTATACTTTTATTTGTTCATAGTTGCTGTCCAGTGTATAGGGTGATTGAAATACATACACAAATAAAACATAAATAACAGCCTGAATATTGTCCTCTGTAACCCCAAAATTATTTATCTTTACGATAAACTTTCTTAGGTTTATTACCAAAATGCGCCTTTATGTTTCGTACTTGTCTTTACCAGGAAGTGTTATAAAATTGAAACTTTTTTCTGTCCGTATGTTTGCCTGTCTGTCCGTGTGTCTGTTTGTCTGTCTGTGCGTCTGTCTTTCATTCTATCTGTCTGTGCGTCTGTCTTTCATTCCATCTTTCTGTTCGTGTGTTCTCATTATTCTGGTACCAATTGCTTGTTTACACAACAATCACTGAAGATTTTATCTTCGAACACGATACAGGTTCGGGGGATATTGAGGTTATAATACACATTATTTCTTTACACTAACAGTACTTTAGCTTCTATATCATGAAGTTGACTCGAGTAACACACACTGCGACGAACAAAGTTACTCAGCGAGTGATTTTGTGAAGAATTAAAACAAAAATTGCTCATAAACTCTCACCAAAATAACAACACTAAATTGTGTAATCTCGTACAACCATAAATTGTCACCAGAAAATTGCGTGAGGTCAGTTGTAAAAGTTTTTGACCCAACGGCTGTGTGTTAGCTGATAATGTCACCCAAGAGCTGATGGGAAAATATTGGTGGTAGATAAGGTGGTTTCTTATGTTGTTAATAGTAAATACTACTATAAAGACATGGGCCAGTCAGGGGGACTCACGTGAACTTTAAAGAGTAAATTGGAGCTAATTATACCTATTGACCTTTAAAACAGTGCTTGTGATACGTTTAGGATATAATCTTGATTACTTGAAATATTCAAATGATTAACAGTAATCACTAATCACCTGAACTATTTTAAGGGTTAACATTTAGTTTTCCCAGAAATATTTTCTCGACACTCGTCTATCATTTACTGCGCGAAATATAATAAGTACACATTTATCCGCGAATCTCTGGTACATACTAGATACACCTTTAGCAACAGATGATGGCGAAAGATTGAAGTGAGTTGATACCTTTTATATTAACGTTAATCAGCAGGTGTTTAAGTCTAGTATTTAACAGAGCTTGTGATGACCACGTTATTACACTTTGCGATACTTTGAGTCCTTTTTTAATTTTGCGAACCTTATCCCGTTATGATACAGGGTGGCCGGGCAGGTGTTAGTCTACTTATTCTTGGATTTCAGCTGCTGGTAGGTTAATTAGACCTCGACAGTATGTTACCACACCGAAGAATTTTTTCAGTATCGGCCCGTGTCGTTAATAGTGTATTCAACTCTTTGCTACTTACTTGTGTACACGGAGAGAACCTCGCCTTTCACTGCGGCGGGAAGTCGAACACGGCAACATTAGTTACGGTGTCGTATTTTGCGGAGTTATATTCTCTCTTGTACACGGAGAGAATCTCCTGATATTTTTTTTTGCCTTTTCCTCATCCTACCTTTCCCTCTTTTTCTCCTCCTCCTCCTCCTCCTCGTGTGCCTCCTCACCAAATTTCATTGTTTCCGCTCTGCTCCCTGGGGTCTGCTCCCTCCGCCAAAAAAGGTGACATCTCAATTTGTGGTGAAATTCCACTTTCTTGTAAATCGAAGCAGCGACATCTTGCCCCTTCCCCTCTCCCCCCTCCTGTGCCATCCATTCTCGGCACTGGCACTCTAGGGAGTCCTTCCTGGTGGTGCCAAGTTAGGGAACGTGTGGTTGTTTGGGTGCAGGTTGAGGGAGAAATACAGTATGGTTGAAGAACTGACACGCTCGCACGCACGCACGCACGTGTGGTCGGAGTTTGATAATCCAGGACTCTAATTTTGTCAATATTTCATCTTTTATTTGTACCTTGCCACCCAGTTTACGACTTCTGTGTTACTAGCTTCTCGTTCTGTTTCACGACTTCTTATGTTTATTTTATTTTTTTGCTAACTTTACATCCTCGTTCATAATCTCTTTCCTTGTGTCTCTTTATCTCCTCTGTCTTCCACCTCCCCTCATTATTTTACTCTCTATTTCTCCTTTTTACTCTGCTTATCTGTATATCATTCTCTCTCTCTCTCTCTCTCTCTCTCTCTCCCCCATCATCCCCCCCTGTCGCTCGTAATGATCAAGTCTTCGCTGTCGTGTATTGTCCACCAATTAACTCATTTAAGGGTAACTGTGTGTTCTAATTGACACCTTGCTGCCGGGGTAATTAAGGAGCAAATTACCATCTCCAGCTACTTAGTAATTACCTCAAGACGCTGCCGACGTAGTGTTGAATATCGTGGAAAAAATATTGGGAAGATAGACAGGAGAAAGTCGGAAGAAAATGGGTAGGGAGTCGGAAGAAAGAAGTGGGGTGACATTAGATAAAGTTATACATATATATCTTAGTTGAATCAGCCAGTTTTAGTAATACCAGTAGTTACTGATTGCGTGACTGCGTGAAAGAAGTTTATGGTGGGCCGACACACCAGCCAGTTCTTCTATTATTTCTCCTTTGTAAATTTTCTCCATCGTTCTGTGATTTAAAGTGGGATGAAAACCTATGAAAAATATTCTGTATACAGTATTTTGCTATGCTAATCATATATTTCAAAATTCATCTTTTATCTCTCCTTAGCTTACAGATACGTAAAGTGGATCAAGAGAAAAAGAAACATTTAGCAAAAATGTGAAATTGGTCCCATAAGCCCGTTAGGAGCAGTGCGGATAAAGCACACAGTAGACTGTTATTGGTACACAAGGAGCCAGCGTGGCCGGCATTGCACTTGACCGCCTT